ACTCGATAATTATCCTAATTATATTTTAGATTTTTTATATTTTAAAATAAGATGTTTATCCTCTATTTGATTATATTTATCCGCAATTAGTATATAGATTCAGATATGGGATGAAATCGGATAGGGATGAACGGGTTTAAGAGTTTTTAAGAGTTTAAGTTTTAAGAGTTTTTAAGAGTTTTAGCCAAATGCTTTATAATATAGTATAGATTATATTATTAAACAAAAAATAAATTATTTCATGATTAAACTTAAATTAAATTATAATAAAAAAATAAATTAAAAAAATTACATAAAAAATGAGAACTTGTAAATAGTTGATTTGATATTAACATTGATATTTTTTTTTTTCAAATTTTTATGATATATTCAAATTTATATTTTATTCAAAAATAAAATCATTATTGTTTTCTTAAAAACACATAAAATCGAGATGCATCTCGCTGCATTACGCGAGTACCATTCTAGTTATATTTTAAGCTACTCATTTTGCATCTATTTTTAAGAAGTATATTTTGATTTTTTTTAAATCTATAGTATATTATAAAACATTTGATAAAAACACTTAAAAATTATTTTTTATGCATAAAGTACTATTTGTTAATACATATTACTTAAAATTTAAGATTACAAATAATTTTGCATAAATACAACTTATTAAAGCTTAATTTTTAAATTCGTGTAAATAACTACAGATAAACATAATCAAATACAAGATAAACATTCATTTTAAATATAAAAAACTTAAAATATAATTAAGATAATTATTGAGTTCTAACAGAATATTTAGTTATTGTCTTTATAAATCAAAAATAACTTTTTTTATTAAATCTAAATTAAATTATAATAAAAAATTGAATTAAAGAAGTTAAAAAAAAAACTATTAAATAGTTAATCTGATACTAATATCGATTATATTTTTCAAATTTTTATGTTATCTTCAAATTTATATTCATTCAAAAATTAAAATATTATAGAGACATAATAAAAATTAAACATTAAAATCGAGATTTATCTCGTTGCATCGCTCAAATACCCTTCTAATATTAACTAAATATCATTTTTTTTCAGTTTTAGCATAAAAAATAATGATTCTATATTCAAACAAAGACTATAATGATATACCAATTCTGGCCGAAATTCTCAAATTTCAATAAAACAAACGAAAATAGCCATAAAAAATGATGCCAAACTGGTAAATAGTATTTTGATGATATGTGGTCTATTAATTATTTATGTCAGTTTTTTGAACTAATTAAACTTTTAATCATTGTGATTGTCAATTTGTTTTAATTTTAGTCATTCAAATTAACTTCTGTTAACTCGAGTATTTTCGTCTTCCCAATATTTCTTTAATTTTTTATTAAAAAATATTATTATATTAAAGATTAATGATCATTAATATAATTATAATTTTTTAAATTTTTAATTAAAAAATATTATTATATTAAAGATTAATGATTATTAATATAATTATAATTTTTTAAATTTTTAATTAAAAAATATTATTATATTAAAGATTAATGATTATTAATATAATTATAATTTCTTTAATTTTCAATTAAAAATATTATTATATTGAAGATTAATTGTTGTTAATATTATTATAATCATAAATTTGAGTAAATTGCCCTTTAGTAATTATTGTGATAATGATTTCAGTTTTGTTATGGATTGGGTCCCTCTTGATGTAACTCTCTTAGATTAGTAATTATTTTATTGTACATTTTTAAATGCAAGTTGTACAACACTTTAAAGCAATTAATGGTTAAAAAAGTAAAAGTACTAAACCAATAATCCAACCCCATCTACATTCTACAGTGTCTTCTCCTCTCAAGAAACTCCTGTTCTTAAGTGAAATTCACTCACCATCCCCTCTTGGATCTGGATGACCAATGAAAACATAAGTTGTAGATGAAGGAAACGTAAAAGAAGAAGTTATGCCCATTGATGAACAATAAAGATAATAGAGGAAGATTGACAAAAATAGAAAAACTAGATTCAGAATTCTCAATTTCAAAACGAACTCTCACCCCTCCTCCATTGTCAACCCCTTCGCTTCCACCTTCTTTCAAGTAAAACCTAGATCCGGATGAAGCTTGAGACAGATTCAAGTTCTATGCGTTGGTGTGTGTGTGTGTGTGTGTGTGTGAGCGAGAGAGCAGATAAAGCTTTAAGAACAATTGAACACCAAGAAAATCAGGTTATGTACTTCAAAAAATCAGCAAGATCCATTAATTAAGCAATACCCATATTCAAGTGAACACCAAGAACAACAAATTCAATCATATTAAAAAAACACATATACCAAATGGTAGAGAAAGCTTTACAAATGGTTGACGATTTGTGTATTGGTTTACAAAAAAGCATGCATAACACATAATAACTTACGTCCCCCTACACCACTGATCTTCTTCCCTCCTACATATTCTCCGGTTGAGAAAGGTGGTATTGGTGAGTTTGAGCAACCACTGATCACAACCATCCATCAAATTGTTGTTGTGGCGGCCTTTGCACGGAATTCTGAAATTGAGGAGGTCTTTGGTTGCCAAAATTGTTGTTGAGATATCGTTGTTGTGGATGACCTTGAAATCCTCCTAAAGCATTCATATTTTTTGCCGTCACCAACACATCTTCTTGAAGTTGTGGGCATGCATCGGTTGGATGGCTTGTCGCCAAACATATTCCACAAGCTTTCACTTGTTCTTTACCTATGACAAGTTGTTTTACCAGGTTAGTAAGATCATACAAACGACTCTCGATGCTCGCAACATTTACCTCATTAGCGTTTGTTGGCTCCCTCCTCATGTTGCTCCTCACACCAAAATGTTGGGAATTTTTGGCCATAGTAGTGATTAAAGCTCTAACCTCGGTTGGAGTCTTGTTAAACATGGCACTGTCATTGGCAGCATCAACCATCTTTCTATCCATCGGGAGGAGACCCTCGTAGAAGTATTACAAAATCAATTATTTCGAGATTCTATGTTGTGGACAACTCACACAGAGATGTTTGAGTCTCTCCCAATATTCATGGAGAGTTTCAACATCTCGTTGCTTAATACTACAAATCTCTCTACGGAGGTTAGCGGCTCGGGAGACGGGAAATTTTTTTATCTAAAAATAGCCTCCCATTTGGTTCCACGTCGTTACCGAATCGGGAGGTAACGAGTATAACCAATATGTGGCACGATCCTTTAAATAAAAAGGAAAATCCTTTAACTTAAAAAGGTCATCCATAACCTCAGTTGGTTTCATGCTAAGACAAACTATGTGGAATTGCTTCAAATGCTTATTAGGGTCCTTATTCTATAACCCGTGATATGTGGGTAAGAGATGAACCAAGCCAGTCTTAAAAACAAAATTTTGATTATTTGTCGAATACTTGATACAAATCAGAGTATGAGCAACATCTTGGGTGGCTAATTGACGAAGAGTCCGCTTCTCTTCATCGTCTGCCATCTTCTTTGGCTTCTCTTCCTTTTCTCTTTTTAGATTTTCTTCTTTTTCTCTTTCTTCGCCCGAATCGCTCGATAGGTCAATATCTTGTCAGATATTTACCCCTGGCGACGAAGTTCCCTCACCTAACTTCTTTTCGAAGCTTGATTTGTTTCCTCAGTCGCTTCGCTGTCTATTCAATTTCTAAATCAAGTGACAATGGTGAACTTGTACGTGAAGATCTAGGCATAAACCATTAGAATTACCGAGTACCCAGTAGCGGCGCCAAAAATTTGACGGATGCTGAGTCCACCAAATTATGAACTCTTAACTATTGGCTAATTGCAACCAAAATTGTAATAGCGATAAATTACGTCGAATCCACAGAGGCTCGATTTTATCTTATTATTGCCAAATAGTTCAAGTACAAGAACAAATTATTAAGAGTA